AAAATAAAGTTACTAAAAATTATATTATTAGATTATTTAGCTAATATTATAAAAACTCTATTAGTATAACTTTTTAAATAGATATTTATTATATTTTTATAGAGAAGGTTTTTAAATATATTAATATACTAACTTATACTTTAGATCTTAATATTAAAGTACTCTTACTTAATAATATTAATAAACTTTAAATTAGCTTAAAATAGAGTAAAATAATATTAAATTACTTAAAAAAAGGTTTTTAATATAAGAGTTCTTTATATTTTTAGTAGTTTATATTAAGAAACTTTAAAAAATATATTTTAGAAGTTTTTAATCTAAATATTAAAATTAATAGTAGAAGCTATTTAATTTAAAACTATAGTATATTCTTTATAGATTATAATAAAATTATTTAAATTACTTAGAGTATAATATTACTTTAGAATATATATTAAAATATAAAAAATATAATCTCTTTTTTTAAAAAGCTTTATTTAAGTAAATATAAAGATCTCTTCTAAAATAGTATCTTTAATCTATTTATTTAAAGCTTTATATATTTACTCTTTCTATATATATTTTACTTTATAAGCTATATATATAGTGAAGTATAAAGTATAAAATTTAAAAACTTCTATAAATCTCTTAATAAAAAGAGTAAGTATAATTAATACTAATAGTAATAAGTTATTAATAATTTCTTTAAACTCTTTTTCTCTAAAGTTTTTATTTTTAATAATATTACTTTTTATAATAACTTTTTAAATATTTAAAGTAATAAAAGTATATAAAGTAATAATCTTATTATAAATTTCTTATTTTATTTTATAATATTTATATTACTTCTTATTTTCTTTTTAAATCTAATTATTAAGTAAAAATATACTTTTAACTTTATTTAAATTAGAAGAAATATTAGAGATATTATCTAAATTAATATATTTCTAAATATTTTTAATTTTTACTTCTACTTAAAAAGTAATATATTAAACTAAAAAGTTATAATAATAAATAAGTTTATAAAAAATACTTAAATTAATAATTATTATTATATTAAAAGTATATTATAAATTAAAAATAATTATAAAAATAAAGTTTTAAAATTAAAATAGAATATAATAGATATAAAATAAATTAAATAAAGTTATAATTTACTTTATAAATAATAGTTTAAAAGTATAATATAAATTAAGTTTATAACTATTATAAACTAATTATAATATATATATAATATCTATATAAATAAAATAACTTAATTCTTTTTAAATTAGAGTTTAATATAAAAGGTTTTTTAAAGAATAGATCTTAATACACTAGAATATTATTAGTCTAAATAAGTAAGTTAGAAGTAGGTTACCTTATACTTTCCTCTAGGCGTAAGGCTGCCTTAGATGCTTGAGGGCATCATAACACTATAGCTTGTACACGATCACACAGGACGCGATGTGACAGCGTTCCTTCGCTTGGACCGTGGAGAGAAACTCGTGGATCATCATTCCTTCTTCTTCTTCGAGGGCCCAAGATTCCACGTACACCATTCATCCTACGAAACTCACGATTCTGATATGCAGTTTCTCGGCCACGACTGGCTACGTCACCGAGGATACGAGAATTGCTGGGGAGTCGGACGCCATATCATGGGCAGTCAGATATTTGACTACTGGTCAGTACTGATGGAGTTGAAACGAAAATGTTATCGTAACCTGCTCATGCTGTTCCCTGCTAGGTACGATCCCAGCAAATTCATCTTCGAACACTACGTCGACGGCGACCAGATGAACAGCTCTCATCCTACAAGTGTTTCAGAAGCCTCTCCCAACGGTCTTCACATTTGGGGTATGTGCGATCTTTCTTGAAACAATAGACCGATAGACCGATGATATCTTTGTCTAATTGTATTAATTCTAGGCCCTGATCTCCCGCCCGACTTTCTGGTATGAGTTAAGCCTATGAGGAAGGCTATGGTGATTGGCTTGATAACCTTCAGAAAGCACAGTACGCTGCGTTGTTCCTTGGCATACCTGCCGTTCAAGTAGACTCTTGTGCCCTCAATGAAAGATATATTTTATTTATGCATGGCATTGAGACAAGTCACCCCCATCCTCGTGCAGCAAAACGCAGCAATTGAACGTCTTAGCACTTCCGTGCCTCAATTGACTCAGCTTGCTGACGAATTAATTGGACGAAGAAAGATTATGGAATTAGCACCACCACGTCTTCTCAATTGGCTTATGTGATGTTCACGAATTTGGACTAGCAATCTCGTAGTACAATCCGACTGGAAGGCCAGAGAGCATGAGCTGCAAATCATTCCCTAAAATATCAGTGAACATGCAAAAAAGAAGAAAAGAAAAAAAAAAACCGGTATACACATGCTTGATTGTTCCGCTGTCATCTCAATGTTTCCCCGTAAGCCTTCCGCTAACAAGCCTCAAACACCTCCCAGTATCTATCACATCCGTCTTGTAGGGTGGTATGTGGCGGCGGCTGCAGATGGAGTATTTCGACTTTCTCTCACATTTCCAAACCCTGACTAATTGAAGATATTCCATCGGGCTTCCCCGCACCGCAACCACATAATGCGGCACCAATTTGATCATGCCCGCCGGTCGGACAGATCATGTCTAGTGCTACTCCAAATCGCTCCGACAAAATTACGCCGAAAGTACGGCAACTACTTCGGCAGTTTCAGCAGTAACTTTTGACCAGAGACCACCTGCCCTATCAGCGGACACTTGTTGGACTTTCATTGTAATACGCTATGCCGCTGTGAGCACTGGGCATGTCAAAAACGTCAAGTTTATCAAGCCCTACACTCCTGTACAGTCGTCACTCAGCCCGAGCTTCATCGGCACTCTGTCTTCGAACGATTTTACGATCATGAGCTGCCCTTTGTTCTTCGTTGTTGCTCGTGTGGTTGGTTCAGATGGATCGCTTGAGAAGGTAAAGTGTCAGCCTGCAGCCCTCCCTTTTAAGACAAACCTATTTCCCTCCGTATGTTGCTGACGGATTCGGTGACCATCCGTGGTGGAAAGAGCGACTAGTTGGTCTTTGCGGTGTATCAGCCACCGAGCCACTGGGCAATAGTTACTACTGGGGGCATGACTTGGATGGCGAGCCGGATACCTTGTGGGGCCTTGAAGGCTACACGCATCCCGCCGGTTTCTTCCTTGGACATACGTCAACGGACACTTTCAAGCACGAGATGCGTCTCGCAGATGAAGATAAGCTCTTGAAAACAGTGCAGGGTATTGGTAGTCCGGACTACGATTTGCATCATTATGACTTTGCCGGGGGTTGGCTGAAGCGCGAAGACGACGACTATAAAGATTCGAAAGACAGCGCTGTTGCCGTCGTCCACTTCTGGACATCGGAGAGAGAGAGGTCTTTGGTGATCGATCGTTTGACTGATTTTGCCGCATCGCGAAGGGCGATCAAGTTCAATCAAGGTTCGCTACAGAGCTGCGGCGTTCTGAAAGAGGTCATGCAACCAAACCTCACCACCTTGTGGCTTCGGTATGTCAATTCCAAGAGCTCATTCGTTCTTTGCCTTCTCTCCTTATTATCGTTTGCCTCACAAGAAACATGACTGAATGGAGTGCGATATATCAGCACCAGGACCCAAAAGGACCTGAAGTCCCTTCTTGTCTCGGAAGAATACAAAGATTTACTGGCATCTGTGGAGCCTGTCCTCAGTCTTCGGGTAGAAACTCACTTATCCCAATCATTCAATGGCCACATCGACCAGAGGCCAGTCACACATGATGTACAGTAGAATAAATATACCGCTACATACATACCTACACATCACTTGAACCAAGAAATTCGCACTAAAGTTCGGATTATCAATAAAGATTAAAAAGACTTTGGTCAATACCACTGGTATCTAAGCGAATAGTTATGGGGAGCCAGTAGCAGGAATAATGACGGAGATACCATAAATGGTGACGACGAAGACGACGATAGTAATAATAGCAATGGGGATAATAATGAAAGTAGATTTTTTGCAGCCCAAGCGGACCTTGGCACCTCTGACAACTCAGGTGACTCCAATAGATGTGAACCTTTCATCTTTCTCCATATTGAGCCTGCATCGCTTTCGAAGACAGCATCCCCGGACACTCATCTACCACAGGATCAACTTTCAGCCTGGGTTGGAGGTCTGTGATGGTATCGATTTCGTGGTTCGGATGATTTGTAGAGTGGGGTTACGATGAGCTCGCTACATGGGTCCGCAAACGCGACTGGTTGGCCCTCCGAGATTTTTTTTCCTGAATAGTGCTTATTGACAACTTGACAATCGCCATTGTCTTTACTAAGCGGCTTTCTTTGATTAGAAAGCCTTATCTGAGATTCTAGTCCATCGCCATCGCAGCGTAACATTAGCGCTTTGAAACAACATGGAGCTCGAGGAACACCGTCTTGCGACAAAATGTATCCAGTCTGTCATCCGCGTAAGTCCCGCGTAGCCATAAGACTGAGAAAGTTGAATTGCCTTGCCTCAAGTTCATTTTGATGAGCCATCACTGACAACATTTACGCAACGACGCATCAAGGGGTGTTCCATCGATTCCAAAGCAGTGGTACTGACAGTGGTGAAAGACTGCCAAACCGTATTGAAACGGCGAAGCCGACCAGGGTCTGATGCCGCTATCGATCGGCCCCACGGCGTCATCCCGGCTCCAAATGGACGGGTCTCAACGCGTAAGCGCGACCGCCGGAATGCAACTTTGCAAGGGTTAGTGCTTCGCATCGAATGATCGTCATGTAACCCTGTCGCAATGGCCGGCGCCAAGTGTGGAGCAGTTGCGATCGCCTTGACAGGCTGGGGCGCCGAGAAACAGTCGGTTTATCTCTGGGTTCATTTCGCCAAGTCGTCTCGCTCCATGTTGCTTGTTATTCCTCTGATTCTGTTGCTCGAGGTTGTTGCTGTTGATCGGGCGAAGAATAGGCTGGTCCATCAATAATACCTAATACCATTTCTTGGCACACACACCGATCGGTGGACCAACCTCACCATGGTGTTCGGCAAGCCCACCAAAGGCGAGAAGAGCGCCGGCGTTATCTACAGCTCCGAGCAGCAACCTGCCGGCCAGGTCGAAGCGCAACCCATCGACGCATCGTCAACAGAACCATCCTCGGAGTCTGCTTCGACATCGGGAAGAAAGCAACGCAACTGGTCACAGCGTCTCAACCCACTCAAGACGAAATATGTGCCCCTAGTTCCTGACAGGCGTCAGCCATCGTTGGAGGCAGGAGCTGGATTCTTCAGCAGACTGTTGTTCACTTGGGTTACTCCTCTCATGCATGTAGGTTGAGATGGTTTGAAGTAACACTTGCAATCATTCTGACAAAAAGTTGCAGGTTGGCTATCAGCGGCCGTTGGAACAAAACGACATCTGGGAGGTTAACCCCGAGCGAAGCGCCGAGGTTCTCGAAGTCAAGTTCCGCGCCGCATTTCAGAGGCACACGGCGAGTGGCAGCTCTCGCCCTCTCTTGCGCGCCCTTCTTAGCACCTTCAAGAAGGAGTTTGTCGTCGGCGCGCTATGCCAGCTTGGCAGCACCGTGGCATCGACCATCTCGCCCTTCCTACTGAAGTATCTGATTGCGTTCGCGACTGAGGCCTACAATGCAGCCAAGAACGGCTCGGCAGCACCGAACATCGGATACGGTGTCGGCCTCGTCATCATCATCACGTTCTTGCAGATCGTCATGACGCTCAGCATCAACCATTTCCTGTACTTTGGCATGACGGTAGGCGGCGAGGCAAGAGCCGTCTTGATGTCTGTCATCTTCGACAAGGCCATGAAGATCTCGGGACGCGCCAAGGCCGGGGGTTCATCCGATGTCGCACTCCCACCTAGCGATGTAGCTCCTGGCAGCGACGAGGAGAAGAAGTGGTACAAGAAGCTACTGGGAACTAAGAAGAAGCAAGACAAGCCGAAACAACCTGAGACCAAGTCCGAAGGAGAGAGCGGATGGAGTAATGGTCGCATTGTCAACCTCATGTCAACAGACACCTACCGCATCGATACGGCTAGCGGCTTCTTCCACCTTCTCTGGGGCTCACCACTTAACATTGTCATTACAATGGTCCTGCTTCTCATCAACTTGACCTACAGCGCCTTGCCGGGTCTCGGTCTATTGTTCATCTGTTCTCCCGCTCTGGGACTGGCCTTCAAGGCTCTTTTCAAGCGTCGCTTCGCCATCAACCAGATCACGGACGCTCGAGTTAGTCTCACGCAGGAGGTCATGCAAGCCATGCGCTTCGTCAAGCTTTTCGGCTGGGAAACGAGTTTCTTGGGTCGCATCGACGAGATTCGCAAGAAGGAGATCAGGTCAATCCAGATTCTGATGTCCATCCGCGACGGTATTCAGGCTGTTTCCATGAGCATGCCCGTCTTTGCCTCAATGCTTTCTTTCATCACTTACTCGCTTACGAGCCATTCCTTGAACCCTGCCCCTATCTTCAGTTCACTGGCTTTGTTCAACAATCTGCGGATGCCTTTGAACATGCTCCCTATGGTCATTGGGCAAGCGGTCGATGCTCTAGCGTCTGTCAAGCGCATCGAGGAATTCCTACTTGCCGAGGAGTCGACGGACGACGTCCAATACGATTACAACGGTCAGAACGCCATCACGGTTGAAGACGCGACATTCACTTGGGAGCAGACATTGGCCCAAGCACGCGAAGGTCTCAGCGATAGGGAGAACGGTCCCGGTGCCAGAACCCCCAGCACAATCACCATGTTGGAGCCATTCCACATTCCCAACCTTAACCTGGCTATCGGCAGATCAGAGCTGGTGGCTGTGATTGGAAGTGTTGGATCAGGGAAGACGTCGCTATTGGCCGCTCTGGCTGGTGAGATGCGCCAAACGGGCGGTTGCTTGACACTAGGTGCCACGCGGGCTTTCTGCCCGCAGTACGCCTGGATTCAGAATGCCAGTGTTCGGGATAACATCATCTTCGGACGCGACTTCGACCGCGAATGGTACGACAAGGTAACGGAGGCGTGTGCTCTTCGTCCCGACTTCGAGATGCTTCCCGACGGCGATCGCACTGAAATTGGCGAGCGCGGCATCACTGTCTCCGGTGGGCAAAAACAACGCATCAACATTGCCCGTGCCATCTACTTCAATGCCGATATTGTGTTGATGGATGACCCCCTCTCTGCGGTGGATATCCACGTGGGAAAACAGATCATGGACAAGGCCATCTGTGGCTTGCTGTCAAACAAGTGTCGCATCCTGGCTACACATCAGCTTCATGTCCTCAACCGTGCCGACAGGATCATCTGGTTGGACGAGGGTCATATCAAGGCTGAGGGTAGCTACGAAGAGCTCATGTCCGAAAACGAGGAATTCGAGAAGCTTATGGCACTCACCCATGTCGATGAGCAAGAGGGCTCACAACAAAACCCCAACAAGCCTGTCACCTCTACCACCGAGGAACCGATCAACGAGGAGGAAAAGCTGGTCAAGATCGAAACGCACAAGAGTACAGCAGCGTTGATGCAAGCCGAAGAACGCGCGTTGGACGCCGTCAGCTGGAGCGTCTACGGCGCCTACATCCGGGCCAGCGGCTCCATCCTTGTCGCGCCCTTGGTCATCGGTTTTCTTGTTCTCGCTCAGGGATGCAACATCATGACAAGTTTATGGCTATCATGGTGGACGGCAGATCAGTTCTCCAACGTTGACGAGGACACCTACATCGCCGTCTATGCAGGACTGGGCGCAGCGCAAGCGATATTGATGTTTTGCTTTGCTGTGTCCATCTCGATCTTTGGAACACGCGCTTCAAAGGTCATGCTCAATCGTGCCATGACCAAAGTCCTTCGCGCCCCCATGTCCTTCTTCGACACAACACCGCTGGGCCGCATTACGAATCGCTTCAGCAAGGACATCGATGTCATGGACAACACCCTCACTGATTCCCTGCGCATGTACTTGCTGACCATCAGCATGCTGCTCTCAACTATGGCCCTGATTCTCGCGTATTACTACTACTTCGTTGCGGCCTTGGTGCCGCTTTTGATCATCTTTCTCTTTTCCGCCAACTACTACCGCAGCTCGGCGCGTGAGATCAAGCGCCATGAAGCCATCTTGCGTTCGCACGTCTTTGCAAAGTTCAGTGAGGCAGTGTATGGCACCTCGACGATCCGCGCTTATGGACTTCGTGACCAGTTCACGGCAGTCTTGAGGAAGCAGATTGATGACTTTGACGGAGCGTATTTCTTGACGTTCGGAAATCAGCGGTGGTTGTCTCTGCGTCTCGACGCCATTGGCCTGGTCACTATTTTCGTTCTCGGTATGCTGGTGGTCACGTCACGGTTCACCGTCAACCCCAGCATCGGAGGTCTAGTCTTGTCATATATGCTAGGCATCATGGGTCAGTTCCAGTTTGCAGTACGCCAAATGGCTGAAGTTGAGAATGACATGAACAACACCGAGCGCATCCACTACTATGGCACGGGCTTGGAGGAGGAAGCACCGCTGCACATTGGAGAGGGTATGCCGAAGAGCTGGCCCAGCCAAGGCGAGATCGTGTTTGACCATGTGCAGATGCGATACCGGGCGGGATTGCCGCTCGTGCTGAAAGACATCCACATGCACATCAAGGGAGGCGAGCGTTTGGGGGTTGTCGGCCGCACAGGTGCCGGCAAGTCCAGCATCATGAGTATGCTATTTCGCCTTGTGGAAATCAGCAGTGGTTCTATTACCATTGACGGAGTCAACATCAGCACCATTGGACTGCAGGATTTGCGGTCTCGTCTGGCTATTATCCCACAAGATCCAACGTTGTTTAAGGGCACCATCCGGTCAAACCTGGATCCTTTTGACGAGCACTCTGACATTGAGTTGTGGGCGGCACTTCGACAGGCAAATCTTGTCACTGACACGTCCTCACCGGGAGCTCTGGGCTTGCAGAGCGTGGTTGAGGAAGAGGGTCTTAATTTCTCGCTAGGTCAGCGACAGCTGATGGCCCTGGCCCGCGCCTTGGTTCGGGATGCCAAGATCATTGTCTGTGACGAAGCCACGAGTTCGGTGGATCTGGCTACAGATCAAAAGGTCCAGCAGACCATGGAGAGTTTCAGAGGCAAGACACTCCTGTGCATTGCTCATAGACTGGAGACTATCATTGGCTATGACCGCATTTGTGTACTAGATAAGGGTGAAGTCGCGGAGCTTGGAACACCATTGGAATTGTTCGACAAGGGAGGCATGTTCACGAGCATGTGTGAGAAAGGAAGCATCAAGAGAGAGGATATCTTGGAGAAGATGACATCCAAGTAGATAGACTACCTAGGTAGCGTTTGCTAATGATGGAATAAATTTCATGGTTTTTTGTTAAACACTTCCACTCCCAACTTGGGGAGTCGTTTCTCCACTTCTCACTTTGTGAACAACCAGGGCGAGTCGGACTTCTAGGAGATTTGCTGGTCGGGCAGTGTCTATACACACGTATGTAATTCGTAGCCTGTTCTCAAAGCAAATATTACATTTCCTATTCTCGCTTTCGTCGTCGTTGTTATCAATTATCGCCTTCGTCGTCGTTGTCGTCGTCGTCGTCGTCGCCGTTATCCTTATTACTACTTCTATCGTTCTCTCTATAATCACGTATCATAGGGGACGCTGCCCGGATAGCCAACGAACACTGCCCGATTCATCATCACTGGAAGAATCTGAATCATCGTCTGGTCGTGATCTGAGGTCAAGGCTCCGGTGGGTTCGTCAGCAATCCAGCTTTCATCGGCGACCACAAGAGCTTGGGCGCTCTGTGTATCGTAGCTATTGATAGCTTCAAACGGAAGGTGGCCTGGAAAATGACACGCGTCGTACGGTATGACCGTGAACTTACGGCGATTTTTCCAGTTAGTAAGCGGGGTCTGCAAGGTCACATCGACTGCAACTGTAACTCCAGCTCCCATACCATAAGCCCCTCCATATTGTTAGAGCCATCAGATGATGGACCAGGTCTTGGAACAACGAAGCCAGGTCGAGAAATGAGACTGCACGTGGTGTTTGCGAGAAAAGACACAGCTGGGAGTACTCAAAAGCATGATGAGGATTGATGAATGACGTGGCGGTGTTTGTGTAAATACCTGCCTTAAGCGACTAGGCTGGGTGAACGCAGAGTGACCCCTGAGTCTACTGTGGCGGAATATGTGGCTCTATGGAAGTCCATACAGCAACAAAACCATGTTCTGAAAGCTTACTATTTATAAAGGCCCCCCATTTTGTTGCGCTACTGACGACTGAAATGTATTGAGTTGAGATCTGAATCTGCATCATTCGGCCGTGGTATCAAATTGACCGTCGGCAGTCGTCAGTGCCACTCTTTTTACATCAACCTCCGTCAAGTTCATTTGGTCTAGACCAGGAACCGTTACGCAAGCTACAATCGTTTCCACGAACACCAGAAACATCAATGTTATACCCAAAGGCAGAAATCACGATTCCTCTCGTCCAGCCAACCAATGTTGTCCACCAGCGTTGTCCACCGTGGCAGTCGTTTTTGGTTGTTGAACGGGAAGTGGGGGGTCGTCTGAAGCAGAACAGTGAAACATCGTCGTCTCTGAGACGGGAAGTGGGGTCAGCGTCCGCCGCAGAAACAAAAACATCGTTACATGGGCGACTCTCAGTTTCGTGGGTACCAGACATCAATCTCTAAATCCCTGGCTCCCGTAGGCCCTTGCGTTTGTCAGGCGGCCCTGTCCCAGTCTCTCATACTCTTAAGACTCGAGTGGTTTCCGGGAATTCCGGTGCAACTTTGCGGGGGCGGCCAATCGGACGATTTCTGTTGTTGACCATGCTCTTCTAACCATTTCAAGAGATCTACATGCGTCCTGTACTACTCTGAATCTGTTCTAGAAATATTCTCGGCCCATGGCCCCGGGTATCGACGATTTCTCGCCTTGCATGACGAGCAAGACGACGATTTTTGATACGCTTGCGCACTTTCGTCCCTTCTCATCCCGGTGGGAGCTGCTTGCGTGTTCGTCGATTGATCGAGCCGAAGATCCTACGGTCGAGGTGGCAGGTTCACCAACCCACGTCTGTTGCACGTCGTGATGCATAAATGTGGTCCCTCGCCCAACACACTGTTCAGCCTCAACTGGGCCTGTCAAAGCAAGCATCGAGCCCGCAACTGCTGCCATCCCCCTTATGCCATTGCACGGCACATACAATTTTTAGGAATACGGGACGGATCGCGCTGAAGTCTGCTGTTTCACCGCGCATCCCACCTGCCCACTGGCCACGCAAGTACTCGAACAGGATAGCTTGTGGTCCATCATCCTTGAAGCATGGGGAAGCTCATCCGGCCCCTCTTGGAGCCTCCTCATGACGTTCGATGTCGCTGGAAATTCCGCAAGTGCAAACAATCCAGCGCCCATTTGCCGGATGCTTCTGATGTGTGGGTTTCTTGGGCATAATTCCTGTGCAATGAAGCTCCCCGGATGCGTGTGTATTTTTTGACCTGTTGGCAGCCTTTGCTGTCATCCCATCTCACATGATACAGCGTATCCTGGTGAGACTGATGTTTTGCTAGGGTAAATTTCATGTCTTGGCGATCTTCAGATCATTAGTAATTGCATGTCTGTTGTTGATCTGCTAGATTATAATGAGGCATCCTATTCTCTCGGCCTAGATGAACATGGGAGAGCAAACTACGAGATCAAAAATAAAATAACAAAAAAAGTATGTATTTCAACTTGCATGATGATCCGCCCTGGGTCTCGATGTCCATGTCCAGATCATCTGATTCCCCCTTTCCAGCTTGACGCATTCCCATTCATTCGTGTCTATATAGACATGAGAGATTGTCCAATATCACGCTTTTCAAGACTGCAGACTGACCGCAAAGTAATCTAGTTCCATCCCGGCCGGTCCGGACATTTTTGAGCATTCTTCTGTTGTTGTTTCTTTCAATTTCTTTGTTTCTTTGCCATTTTAGACGCTTGGGAGAACCCCAAGAACCAGGGAGCCGTTTGCTCGATCCGCTCTCCCTCCGATCTTTACGACGACAGTTTTGCGGTGCTTTCCTTCAGTCTCTATTACTTTCACCTTTCTCTTAATCTTTATCGATTATGGAGGGCGACGGCGATGATGGGCGTCTTGGCCCGGCCAACTTCAACAACGCCAATGCCGGCAAGCGCGAATCAAGAATCGACAAGTACGCCAAGCGAAGCTCGCAGATGTTCATCCCGTACAGTGTTGTCGACTTCCGCCATTCACAGGCGCCGGCCCCGAGGTCTCCTGCGTACCCATCGCGAACTTTGCAAGACGACGAGCGGGGGCTGACGAGGATCGACTCCATCGATACAATTACCGCCGAGAAGCAGGAGGCTGCTGCTGCCGTCCATGAGGAAGAGGTGCTGGGAAGTACCGAGATCTACGATAAAGACGGCAATATTCGATTTGTCCCCGTGAGTAACAAGGAAAAAGTTCAGCGACTTGAACAACGGAGACTTACTTCAGTGGCAGACTCCAACTCCTGACCCCAAGGATCCCCTCAATCTCCCCGAATGGCGCAAGTGGCTTGCTGTTGCTTCACTCTGCTTCTGTAAGCCTCTCAAAAAGAAAATACCGAGCTTCCGTTGCCTAACAATACAAAGTCGGCTCCGTCTCGCTCGCCGCTGAAATCGCCGTTGCTGGACTGCTGCCCGTCTTCATCCTGGAATACTCTGGCGTGGACCCTGCTTCGACGCTCAAGCACGCCGACCTCAAAGGCAACCCGGACCCTCTTGGCGTTGTGCCACCAGGTGTGACTCCCGTATCTCTAGCTTCGGTATCGCTTCTGGCCACCATTCCCATGCTGAGCAACGGCATCGCCACGTACCTGTTGGTTCCTCTCACTGCGGCCATCGGAAGACGTCCGGTTCTCGTTCTGACCTCAGTTTTCTCATGGGCTGGAGGCTTCTGGGCTGGATACAGCAAGTCTCTCACCAGTCATATTGCCGCAAGAGTCTTCCATGGTCTCGGCTCTGGTGCCGTTGAAGCCTTGCTTCCGCTCATTGTCCAGGACATGATGTTCTTGCATAAGAGAAACAAGGCTGTTGCGTCGATCATTGCCAGTCAGGTACGTCAACGGAACGCTATGCCTCTGTAGACATGATGGTGTCGTTATGTGATGCAGTACTAACGTGTTTCTCATCCAGGGACCCATGATCGTCCTCTTCGGTATCCTCGGCCCCTACATTGCTGTCAACTGGGACTGGCGCTGGATCTACTGGATCACTTCCGCTGTCGGTGTACTCACCTGGATTATGCTCATTCTTTTTGTTCCCGAGACACTCAGGCAGAGATCCAAGGCGGAACTGGCCGGACATCAGCTCTGGCCCGTGGCGCCCGGAGAAAGCCGCACTCAGTTGGACTATGCTACCTACGGCGAACGCACCAGATGGGATGATATCGGTTTTTTCCAAACTGGGACGCACTGGAAGGATGCCGGAAAGCAAATCGTTGACACCATCAAGACCACGATGTTCCCTGCTGTCATGTGGTGCACCCTGCTGCAGGTTGCTTTTGGAATGGTAATGGGTGCGACTGGGCAGGCAACGTCTTTTGCCCTTCTCGCTGCTGGGTGAGTGACAACCTATTCTTTCTCGAATGTCGAAATGCTTACCAAGTTGTTCTCAAGCATCCCTTTCGAACTTACCGGTCTCTCCCAAATTCCTCAGATCCTTTCAACCGTGGTCGTCTTTATCGTCGGTGGTCCTGTCGCGGACGCCGTCTCACTCTGGATCTCGAAGAAAAAGGGTGGCCGTGAGGCTGAGCATCAACTTCCCAACCTCATCCTTCCCATCGTCATGGCCATTACTGGGGCCCTTGTCTTCGGTTATGCCGACCAGAACCACCTCCACTATGCCGTTTTGCTGCTTGGTACCTTCCTGCTCATGACCTCGACCTTGATCTCTGCTCCTATTGTGCAGAACTACGTCATCGAGAGTTATCCTCAGTGGGCCGGTCCAGTTCTTGTCAACGTCTCGACGCTGCGTGTCTTCATTTCTTTCCCTCTCAATACCCAAGTCACGACTTGGCTTCAACAGCTCGGTAGGTCTTCCCATTCCCACTTTCATCAAACGCGTGTCAGCTAATCATGTCTTCTGCTGAACAGGGCCCATGATGTTCACGGTCTACTTGTCCATTGTGCTCCTTGCCGTGTCCACCGGTATCCCGTTGCTCTTCTTCTTTGGGAAGAAGCTCCGCATTAGGACGTCTGAAAAGGTCACCAAGCGTCAGTAGAGGCATTCATATGAGTTGCCCTCGGAAACGGACTTTTTTGTTAGCGTGCACCACCTGTTAGGGTCATGTGGTCTCCTTGATGCCCCTCGAGCCCGCATAGAATCACCACCGTAAATCGTTTCCAATTTACGAAAGCTAGCAAAACCACCACATCCCCTTTTGCTTTTGAAGTACAAGATCGCGCAGAGTTGGCTGCTTTTCCGGTCTAAGATTAATCATCAATGCCCCGAGATTCATGTTTAGTCTAATGTATACTAGTCGTTTTGCGCATAGACATGATAAGGGCAGTTAGACTGTCTGGGAGATTTCTGCAAGGAAGAACATGGAATTTGAGATCACCGATGCGAGCAACACGGATAAAGGAACATGAACTGCGCGACTAATTATTGCTAAGACTTGAACGAGAACCCCTTAACCCCACCTGCAACTTCTGCACCTTACTTTCGCTCTACATAGACTGCCATCATCTTCTGAATGAATCGAGTAGCCCAAGTGTCTCCTACCAGGCCAGTACAAGACTTTCGCAAACACCTTTTCAAGCCATTTAGATCGAAACGAGAGAAGTAACAGCTCCCAGCATGTTGATAATCTGTCCTTGGAAAGCGGTGACGCAAGCCTGGATGGAACCACCAGGAGGGATGATGACGCTGCCGGATCCAACCTCGGAGTCGCCTGAACGAGAAACGCCGATGCGCTTGCCATTAAGCTGGTAGAAGATGTTCGAAGGAGCGATGCGGTTGATGCCACCGGCGTCCATGACGTCGACCTCGAAAGTTCCCTTGAGGTTGCGGTTGCCGTTGTTGTTCCATCCAGCACTGCAGGTGGTGAGCTTGCCAGGGTTGGAGTTGGTGTTGGCGACCCAGGTGTGGATTTGCGACTTGTCGACGCAGGTGACGTCCCAAGCACCTGCACCGCGCTCGTTGTAGCCGTGGAACTCGACACACCACTGGTTCCTGCCGCAGGCTCCTGGTTGGCGGTAAATGGCGTCAGCGTGCGAGTTCTCGGCAATGCAAGTGACCTTGAAGGTGTTGACGTCCGTTCCGGTGCGGTCGCAGGTGGCCTCTTCGTACAGCCACTTTGCGCCGCTGCGGGGAAGGGGTCGGCGGCTTCTGCAGACGAGAGCAGAGTAAGAGCTGCGCTTTTCGAGGTCTCTCACCACGACATCGGCAGGGTTCGGGTTTTGGGAGTCGAGCGAGATAGTGCCCAGCTGAGAGAGGTCAATGGCCTCAGTGGTGGTAACCCATTCGACGGCCTTGCGCTCAAGAGGAGCGGCGACGGCTCCGAGAACTGCGGGCAGAACAGCAGCGACGAGAGCCGCAGAGTGGATGATTTGGTTGTACATTGTGGAATGAAGGATAGACAGGTTGTCAATGGAACGAATAAGAGGCAGTTGTGAGCCTGTGTATGATGAACGAATGACTAGACTGAAGACCGGTGTGTTCTGAATGATAAGTATGAGATCTGAAGACGAAGTTAGCGACTCTTTATACAAAAGCCGCCAACTTAGAGATAGCCACTGCGTGCATGATCCAACCCGAAAGCGACTTCATTCCCCATGATGCAAAGCTTCCAGAAGGCGTATTTCGCCTAGCTCAGGACATGGACTCAGAAGCAGACCGAGACTTCCGACCTGCTGCCGAGGATCCGGAGTTGAGAATAGTGTCATTTTGTGACTTTAAGAGAGTTTCCATGGCTCTTCGCCCATGTGTCCACCTTTGAAGCTAATGGGACCTTTGACGAGCGTCCTCCCATTGGTGGCCCGTCCACTCTAGTGAGGCGAACACAACAAGCGCAGTCCAAATGCTGTGTTCAAAATAGTGATAACTGTTTTTTTGGAGTATCACGACTCCTGTCATTTTTCGGACACTTATTCAATCCTTTCTCTACGTCATGTATGGCTGATTGTTGTCTAGTCGTTTGGGTCGTTTTACGCCGTGATGGTAACTTGCTTTGTGACATTTATGAGGTCTCAAGGTCAATCGAGCAAGCTAGAAGATTGCGGAGCCCTCATCATACTGCGAGCAGAATTTATCCCTCACATGTGAACCTTGATTGAGTAAATGTCATATGCGAGCCCTTTTTCAACCTAGGGTGACAGCTTGACTCGTATAGTACGATATTGCCAACAGAAAAACTGAAATCCTCGCCGAAGATATGAGAAGCCAAAACGAAAAGTGAGGCTATCGAAATCTTAATGAGAGCAGCATCAGTAAATTTCATCGAGTAGTTGTCTCAATCAATGCTGGCTGGCTCGGGACGGGAAAATGTTCGGCTGTTGTCATTCGCTCATCTGCCAGGAATCAGCTACCTTGCAACGTTTTGTTCAAGCTTTAACCAAGCTTTGAGCCAAGCTTCCAGGGTCCAGACCTCTCTGGCCTGAGTTCTGGCCTCTGTGATCCCTGTTCCAACGGGGAGTGATGTGCAAACTCATTCGACTCATGTACATCACCCGTGTTGGTTATTCTCCTATCTGCCAAAATAATATGTACCTGCTAGCTGCCATTGTGAATGCTGAGAGCAACAGTAGTCCTAAGATCATCCTGAAGTTCCAAAGAGTCCGGTACGATTGCACTAACAAGTTCTTTCACCAGCCTTAAGAAATTCGAACTAATTGGTGTCACCTTACTTCTTCGGCAGCTTCGGACGTGAGCAAGCTTGCATTGACTCAGCATTCATGTCTTGACCAGCTGTTTTTATAAATCGCTTCAAACTTTCCCCCTCTAGTCTGATGACAAGTTTAGGTATCTCAAAGTTCAAAGTATGTTTTGATCATGCTTGGGCAGAAAAGCCCAAGCGAGGATGGGTCTATTTACAGACAGCCCAGCGGCAGCTGTGAGTTGATGATCTCAGAGGCGCATCAAATGAGCGAGAAATCTCCCTGCAATCCTCTATCACATAAGGCTACTATGATTCCGAAAAGGGCAAGAGGGTAGTGGAGGCGACGGCATTCTTTGCGCCGTATGCTAGGTATATTAGAACACATACCTACCCGTAGTTGATTCCCTACTCTACCTCTCTTTTCTTCGTTCCTCGCGAATATCTCTTGGCTCACGCACTTGTTTCTATTGAAGCAGATGTATGTCTGTCTGTGTTTTCATTCTCATCGTCGCTATTCTCTAACTGCCTGCTATCGCCCTTTCTGTCTTTGATTACTTGGATAATAGCAAAGCCTCGGTCCTGAGAGACAATGACATAATTATTCCCAAGAAGTCTTCATATCCAGGCAGGCATTTCTAGCTATCTGGGCGGAAAACTGCTATCTTAGGTCCAATATTTTGTTTAATATTAATAACCTTTTATGTCTATTCTCAGTGTCATCCCTGTGGTCCCTTTCCCTATTATTATCGCCATCGTCGTCTTTATTGCCCCTATCATTGTTTATGCCTACCAAGCGCCCGGATAGCAAGACCCTTCCTAAGATGTCTTCTCGAGAGACATACTTCGGGTAAACTTGCCACACAGGAGGCATACATTTCAAAAGCCCTCATCACCCTACTATTGTCAGGCGTCAGAAACCTCTCCTAAATGCTGCACCGAGCGTTGAGGGCGCAATTATTGGCGGCGTCTGGTTTCCATTTGCCAGCGCCACGACGTGATTGCCACGGTAAGGCTCAGAGGCAAATTGGGGCATTTGAAGCGTTGTCAAAGCACTCTTCACTTCCAAGGTGTCCAAAAATAACTGAGAAAGCAACCATTTGACCCGGGTATCCGACATTTTCGTATATGCATTCATGTCGAAGGTTCCATGAAGCATTTGGCATCATTTGGAATGAGTAGCCTTGCTTTGAAGCTCTCGTGTTGAGGATAGAGCATCTGCGGCTCACTCGTGGCGTGAAGCCGTTGCGAGAGTCAGAGAAAGCTCATGCCACTTTCCATATTCAGAAAATCAGTTGTCCTTGATGGGGCGGCAGGGCACTCAAAGCTTGCACGTGGCTCTCATGGTTCGACCAAAGTGTTTCTCGATCATCAACCTGCGACGCTCCCGCCATCCCTTTCCTCAATCGTTTACACTTTCCTGTCATGCTATATTTCAGGCGTCTGGCATTTCAGACGCCACAGGAGACACAATTCAGCCTCAGCTCGCGTGCGCTCTGTTCCCTCAGAAACGCCATATGTCGCTGCTAGTGATGCTACCTCCTCAGCAGTCACTTCTGAATAATCCGTTACTAATTATGACCACGTCTGAATATGACACCAAGTTGCCGAGCTCTCAGCAAGTCCAGCCGAAGGTATAGTTGGAACCTCAGATGATTTGCCGGCATGGCGTTCGTGTGGCTTGCTGAGCAAGCCCTCTGATGCTGTGGTCCAGAACTCAGCCACCAAAATAGCTCTTCGTGGCGCAACCTTACTTGGGATAACCTATTAAAGTAAACGCCATCTGGAGGTCACCTTATGGCCCTCAACAGCGAAGGTACTGCGAGGACGGAAATGCTTATTCTGTAATTCAGAATGCAGTCTCCAAGACAGCGACCCAAAGTATCTTGACTCCCTTCACATTTTCTATCATAGCCCACATTAAGCCGACTGCCCCGTAGGTGTCATGCATCATGAACAACGAGGCCCGAAGAAGCTGAAGAATTCACCCGGTCGTTACAGTAAACTGCCTATAACTCTTGGCATTCGGTTTTCGCCTCAACTTGGACACGACCAAAGCACAGCGTGCAGTCGATTGTCAGTAGTGAAACAGCGTGAGAACAAACTTGGCAACGGTGCCGCGCCGTCTTGGCACTAGCCACCCCGCGAGCCGCTTAACGGGAGCTAACACCTAAAATTTGCCGCCCCCGCGCGCCACACTCCGGGCTCCCCTGAGCTAAACTTCCCAATCGGTTGTTTTCTCCCATTTCCCCTCGGCTCGAGTGGCTTTCAGCTGAGGCTCAGCGTCGTCTGAGGCCTCTGTAGCCGAGGGGGTCTGGAACAGCAGGTTTAGCCTACAGTTTCGCGAGGCGCCTCCGGTGTAAGTGGTCGTTTAATGATCCTCACGGTGCTTGGACGGTGAGGCA